TCCAAGCTGGAATCATAAAGGCATTTTATATGTATTTATTTTACTCCGAGCCCCCATGACCTGTCTGTTTTTATGCCTGCTGGCAATGCTGTAGACAAGGTTCCTTTCATCTCTTACCAAGTCCAAAAAGGTGCTCACCTGCCACCTGGTGGACATCTAAGGGTAGAAACAGGCCAGCCAGACCTGGCTGCTAACCTGTCCGTCTGTCATTGCAGACCTTACATTGGCAGAGCACAGAAGGCTGATTGTATTGCACTTAATGGTGTATGAATATTTATAGACTCACTGATACAGCTGTATAAGTAGAACATATGTTAAGTACACACAATGCATCTTACTTGGATAGAGCTAAATATAAAGGCATTTAAAAGTGTTATATTTATTATCTGCACAATCTCAAATGCTGCTTTTTTTTTTTTTTTTTTTTTTTTTTTTTTTTTTTTTTTTGAACACTCATGCTTGAAGAGTTTAGTTTAAATGCATAAAACTGATTATAAAACAGCAGTAAATACAAAAACGCTAGTTTAATGATGGAACAGCTAATACCATTTTACAGAAAATGTGTATCAAAGCAACTTTATCTGTATGAAAATAGGACATGTGCATGATTATTGCTCTGTGGTTGCTGCAATCTTAATCTGGCCATAGATGATGCAGTTTTCTTTCCTTCCACCATGGGTGGAAGGAAAGAAAATCGCTCAATTCCTCCATCAACACAGTTAATGTTGATGGAGGAATCACTCTTGCTGTGTTATTGTGTTCTGCTGGCAGGGAGCCTTCCCTGCCAGCAGAACACAATGATCACTTCCGGTGGCTATAGCAATGCTATATAATTGCATGCAAAAAATCTGACAAGCTGGTTGGTCAGTGGGTCAACTTCAGTACAACCAGCCTGCCCATATATGGATCAAATGGTCTCTGCAAAACAGTCCGAGATTCGATTTAATCTATGGCCAACTTTAGGCCAAACATAAGTGACTGCAGTGTTCTTTGTGAAATTGTTGGACAAGAAATCACCAATTTTAATATTTTTACCCTTCTGAAGTTACTAAAATTTTCTATTGCAGTATTTTTTTGTCGTATTTTGAAGAAGATGCAGAGCAGTAGTGTTTCTCACACAGGAGGTATACCAAGCTGTCGGGAACAAACAGTATTCTAAGGAATGGTACAACATCCAGGGTTCTGAGAGACTAGTGTGATTAGCTGGAGCATAATGCAAAACCTTCTGTACACTTGAAAAGGTGACCCACATTACAGGACCTGTATGCAAACTTAAATATAGATAGTAGTGGCCTATGACGGAAAGGGATGATTATAGGAAAGGATATTAGGAAAAAGGAAACCGAAAAAAAAAAAAAAAAGGTCTATCGACCCCTAAGGGCCCATAACAATAGGCAATAATAGGTAACTGAGGCTACATAGATTTAGGGTTGGAAGCCCAAATCCAAGCCAGGGTTCCCAGTCTGAGACCTTATGGCTGCAAATTGGTGAGGATACTAGAAAGTTTCTCAATAACAATCCATGCGTGTTTTAACTTCTTGTAAGCCCACCATCGGTTTCTTCCAACTTCTGAGGATACAGAAGTCTATTTAGCTGCTATAAAATAGAAGGTAACAAGTGTTTGTTAGGGGATAGTGAGGCCTCGGATGGAGAGCTGTAGAAGAGCTTATCTAAGATCTTTCTGGACAGTGGCGTAGACATTAGATAAGTCCAAATTTCTGGGCTAAGTTTAGAGCGCATTGCCTCAAGAGCCTCATCAGGAGATATTGATTGTGTCAAGTCATGTACCCAGTTTCTAATATACTGTGTGTATGGGGGCCTGCAGAGGTCAACTATTTAGAGCCAGGCACAGAGTTGAGATTAGCTTGGAGTTCCGCAACGCTCTAAGGCAAATACATTCAAAGACCCCTTTAGTGTACGAGAAATCTGAGTTTTGATGAGCTGCACATCTTCAAACATTTGCTTCCATGTACAGGTGCCAGGTAGTCTTTAGATTCTGTGGTAGAAATTACTTTAAAGTGGAACTTTAGTCAGAAAAATTAAACCACCGCAGGCTGGCCCCTTTTGCAGGTGTAGTTATGTAAAACATTAAAAATAAGTGTCTATACCAGGGGTACTGAATCAAAATTTAAGGCGGTCTGGTCACTAAAATTTTCTTCTGCCAAGGTCTGAATAGGGTGTGTCCATCAGTGTGCCCCCCTTACATTAGGTGTTGTCATCAGAGTGCTACTTTACATCATGTATTCCCATCACATTAGTTGTCCCCATCATAGTGCCCCTTCACATCAGGTATTCCCGTCAGAGTGCCCCCTTACACTCAAAGTACCCCTTTCCATCATATTTCCCCATCAGAGTGCTCCTTTCCACAGCATGCGCCCCTTTAACATAACCTGTGCCCATCAGAGTGGCCCTTAACATAAAATGTGCCCATCAGAGTGGCCCTTAACATAAAATGTGCCCATCAGAGTGGCCCGTAACATAAAATGTGGTCCTTAACATAAAATGTACCCATCAGAGTAGCCCTTAATATTAAATGTGCCCATCAGAGTGCCCCGTAAGACTATACCCTACTTTGAGGTCAGACAGGAGCTGTGCCGGGATCCTTCCTGAAGGATCAGCTACGCACTTGTGTACAGGCAGGGAGCGGGGACCGGAGAAACAGTGAGCTGCAAGGGGTATATACAGGTGATGTCATTGGTTGCTGTGATGACCGCGCTGCTGAGCAGTGGATCTGTCATTAGTCTGGCGGGTTGGCGGTCCAGAAAGGAGAGCTGCTTGGGTCGTTCTTGGACTGCGGTCCGCCATTTAGTGACCGCTGGTCTATCCAGCAATACACAATCTCACCCTGCTCTGCACATGTTCAGATGCTCTACATTTTTAGGCACTGCAGAATTTGTAGAGGCCAATCTGCTGACAGCCTTTATAGTAGAATCTTTCCTGTCCTTTTAGACTCTATTCACATTTAATGCGTCTCCAAAGTTGCATGATTTCCAGTGCGACTTGTGGTGCGACTTTACATTCACTGGACTAAAGTCGCATCAAAGTAATGCAGGAACTACATTCAAGTTGCTGCGACTTGAAATCACACAGATTTGAATGGTACTGATTGGGAAACATGGGGTATGAGTTGCCATGTGACCTTGGACCCCAAAGTCGCATGGCAAGTCTCACTTTGATAGTTTGGTTGAGGACACAAGCACATGTGACAACAATCCCGGCATTCCAGGAATGTAATGTTTTTTGAAGCTGTTAATTGGATGAGTTTAATTCCACTGTATGATTTACTGCTGTTCATGGTCTTCAGCAAAATGGCAGCCTCCAGCAAGGAGAAACCGGAGCAATGCTGGAGGCAATTTACAGCACGCACTGATTTTGGTCACATAATTCATGTAGAATGAATGTTCCCTGCTAAAGAACATTATTTTGTATCCAGTCGTTAAGGGTAAAGTTCTGCCTTCATTGAGCAGAACACACTGCGTTTATTTGGATGCAGTATGTAATATTGGTGCGTGGGAACTGCAGCTAAAATGCAGCTTTTTCTTGGAAAACGCTATGTATACAATTCACATGCATACTTTTGTGTTTGAATATCAAAAGCAGCGTTTGTCAAGAATCCCCAACAACAGGAGTCCATATACATTTCACCCATCCCATCCACATTCACAACAGGCTAGACCTAATACCACATTTCATAGCCAAGGCTCCGACAGGGAGGCCGAAAGACACTTTGCAGAATACAGTCACTACATCTAGAACTAAAACTGGTCATAAATGTAAGCTCGAAAGAGCAGGGCCCTCAATCCCCTCATGTTTTGCATTGTATTGGTATTCTGTCACATGTTCTGTCCCCCTTTGTAATGTACAGCGCTGAGCAAACTATTGGCGCTTTATAAATACTGTATAATAATAATAAATGGATCAAAATGATCAACTTCTCTCGAATCAAACTGTTGGCAAATTTTCGTTTGCCCAGCACTGCAGCCAGTTGACTGTCAGAAAAGCACAGTGGGGAGGATGCCCCCATCCACTTCCCATAGATTTGCTATATCTATGCCCAGCAGTAGAGTAGGCAGGCTGTACCCCTGTTCTGCTAGCAGTTTCAATCCAGGTACATAGACTCAGTTAGGAAAATGACAATGAAGAACTGCAGCCCTGTACATTGGTATAGGACCAGCCTTCTTCCTACTAGCATGAAAGGAGAGGTTTTTTTTTTTTTTTTTTTTTTTTGTTTTTTTTTTTTTTTTTTACTCCGCTGTGAAAAGAAGAGACCAGGAGTCTTTTTTTGAATGTATTTTATGTATACCACGTACTTATATAGCGCCGTCAATTTACGCAGCTCTTTACATATATATTGTACATTTACATCAGTCCCTAAGTCCTCACACGGTACGTTTTTACAGCGGCTGTTTTTGGATTTGACATTTTTTTTCTACAGCCAGTAAACCCCCCAGCATGTTCTCCTATGTGTCTGCACACGCAGACTGTAATCAATGTTTTTTGGCAGGGATGTTTTTTGACTGGAAATAACCCAGAACTAGTGGGTTTCTAGAGGAGTTTTTTAGCTGTAAAAACGCTCGAACGCTGAAAACCAGCACTGTAACCAGGCAAACCAGCGTTTTTTTTTTTTTTTTTTTTTGTTTTTTTTTTACCGTGACTTTACACAGCTAACGTTACCAGCGCGTCCAGTGTGCATGGAGACCTACTCTCAAGGGGTGTACAATCTAAGTCCCTAACTCACATTCATACATACCTATACTAGGGCCAATTTTAGACAGAAGCCAAATAACCTACCAGCATGTGTATGGAGTGTGGGAGGAAACTGGAGTACCTGGAGGAAACCCAAGCAGCCACTAAAAAGAGAAGCTTTTTTTGAATACATTGCATCATTTTGTGATCTACAGACTATATGGTATATAGTATATCAGTAAAACTCTCTTCCAATAGGATGAGTCAGAAAATTTCTTTTCACTTACTATATCCTGTGTTTGTCTCATTTTCAGAACTCCCTGACAAGATGTGCTCCTCTAGCCAATGACTCCCAAGCACGCAGTGGTGCACGCTTCCATACTTCCTGCGACAAGAGGTATATCATCAAAACTATTACAAGTGAAGATGTGGCAGAGATGCACAACATCCTGAAGAAGTATCACCAGGTAAAGGCTGGCCCTCCTCCCCTATCTGAGTGTATTAGCTCACAGTGCAACCTGGACGGGAGTAGAACTTGAAAAAATACCCTAAAGCATTGTCTGCCCACCCCTGATAGCCCCCTTTATGTCATGTTCACTGTAAAAATGACAGATCCTCTTAGAAAAGAGAAGACGCTGGAACAAGTGATTCCAGAGTTGTGTGTTTTATTGGAAATCTCAACTCCAGGCACCCCCACTTTTTTGTTCTGTTTGTACATAGTGTGCAAGAGGTGGGGGGTACACACCATGGGAAAATCGGAAGAAAATTTCTATTTGAGGAACAATTGTTCGATTTTCGTATAGTATGTACCCAACTCTCGACATCTGATTTACTTTCCAAGCGAAAATTTCCAAAGGGGCAAACTCCAAACTTGTTCTTGTACGTGAATAGAACCAATGATTTTCGCTGAAAGTGTACTGTTTTCATACAAGAAAAATCAGATACGAAAGACTGCGCATGATCAGAAACCATAAACAACAATACAATATGTGATATTGCTCAGGACACTCTAATCAACAATTCACACCCAAAATTAATTATTATTATACAGGATTTCTATAGCGCCAATAGTTTGCTCAGCGCTGTACATTAAAAATGAATTAAACTTAATAAAACAAAATAATAGGCTGCTGCTTCTATACAGGTAAAACCTACAACTCGGCAAAAAAAAAACCATAGTGTGAAAAATGTCCTTAGTGCAAATAATAAGTGCAAGTGCTTCTTCCCAGAAACAATAGGTGATTCGTGCCCAACAGTTCAGCAATATGTCCTCCCCCTAACACCAATCTACAGGCACAATTCTTCTCAATGACACAAACAATGGGGCGCAATTCTTCCCAATGACATGAACAATGGTGTGCAATTCTTCCCAATGACACCAACGATGGGGCATAAGTCTTCCTAATGACGCCAACGATGGGGCATAAGTCTTCCCAATGACACCACCAATGGGGAACTATTCTTCCCACTAACATCAATGAAGGAGCAAAATTTCTCCTAATGACACCACCAATGGGGCACTATTCCCACCACTGACACCAACGATGAGGCATTCACTACTCCCACTGACACTAGGACATATCATACTTCCACTGGCCTCAGCCTGGCCCCCCTCCCCAACAGTCTGAAGGACTATATACTGGCCCTCAGTTTAGAAAGTTTGGAGACCTCTGCCCTAGGCCTAAACAAATTAACCCTTGCAGTGCAGGCTCATGCAAGGAATACATTTTTAGTTGCCTGGAGTCGGTGTTTAACAATGACTCTGGCAGTGTTGGGAGGCATCAAAGGAGCATAGCTGATGGGTGGGACTGCCTTGAAAAGTGGGATATGTAAGGAACTGTCACCTTTTCCCAAACTTGACCTTTTGGGGAAGTAGAATTTTTAGAGAATTTTGCTTGACTTTGGGGGATTGGTAGTTGGTTTTGAGATTTCATATGAACATTCACTTGTGTTCTAGGCCTACAACTTTCAGCACATTCATATAGCTATTGTTACTTGCATTTTGAGATTACCAGGAAGCACTGCTGACTCAGATGTAGCCATTTGTTAAATGGACTCGGATAAAGCTCTCTTGAGTTATAAATAATACACATTAAACCAAACTCTAGATTGAAACCAGCTAAGCTTGTTGTGTGCTGGTCTGTGCTGTGGAAACTTGGAGGCTCTTAATAAGCTCTCAGAGCCCCTGCTGAGCGCATTTAAGAGGGAAAGTGTGCTGTGTCTATCATCTGTGGACTCATCTGCTGCCTTCCGCTATAAGATAAAATAGGCCAGTGCATAACAACTCGCCAATGATCATGTTAAAGTTTTAACAACACATGTTTTATGTGTGCTGAGTTGTCCCAGATACACATTGTTTAACCTCTTTGTGACTGGGGTGTTTTGGATTTGCATTTTGGACCCGTATAGTTAAATTTGGAAGGCTTTCAAGGGAATCCAAACCCAAGAACAGAAATTTAATATACACTATATTGCCAAAAGTATTTGGCCAGCCCTCCAAATCATTGAATTTAGGTGTTTCAATTACCTCCATGGCCACAGGTGTCTAAAATCAAGCACCTAGGCATGCAGACTGCTTCTACAAACATTTATGAAAGAATGGGTCGCTCTCAAGAGCTCATTGAATTCAAGCGTGGTACCGTGATAGGCTGCCACCTGTGCAAAAAGTCCATCCTTGAAATTTCCTTGCTACTAAATATTCCACACTCAACTGTTAGTGGTATTATAACAAAGTGGGAGCAACAGCAACTCAGCCACAAAGTGGTAGTTCACATAAAATGACAGAGAGGGGTCAGTACATGCTGAAGCGCAGAAGTCGCCAACTGTCTGCAGAGTCAATAGCTAAAGACCTCCAAACTTCATGTGGTCTTCAGATTAGCACAACAACAGTGCGTAGAGAGCTTCATGAATGGGTTTCCATGGCCGAGCAGCTGCATCCTAGCCTTACATCACCAAGTGCAATTCAAAACATCGGATGCAGTGGTGTAAAGCACACTGCCACTGGACTCTAGAGCAGTGGAGATGTTTTTTCTGGAGTGATAAATCATGCTTCTCTATCTGGCAATCCGATGGATATGTCTGGTTTTGGCATTTGCCAGGAGAATGGTACTTACCTGACTGCAATGTGCCAAGTGTAAAGTTTGGTGGAGGGGGGATTATGGTGTGGGGTTGTTTTTCAGGGGTTGGGCTTGGCTCCTTAGTTCCAGTGAAGGTAACTCTTAAGGTTTTCGCATACCAAGACATTTTGGACAATTTCATGCTCCCAACTTTGAGGGGATGGCCCTTCCTGTTCCAACATGACTGCGCACCAGTGCACAAAACAAGGTCCATAAAGACATGGATGAGAGAGTTTGGGGTGGAGGAACTTGACTGGCCTGCACAGAATCCTGAACTAAACCCAATAGAACACCTTTGGGATGAATTAGAGCAGAGAATGCGAGCCAGGCCTTCTTGCCTGACCTCGGTGCCTGACCTCACAAATGCACTTCTGGAAGAATGGGCAAACATTCCCATAGACACACTCCTAAACCTTGTGGACGGCCTTCCCAGAAGAGTTGAAGCTTTTATAGCTGCAAAGGGTGGGCCAACTCAATATTGAACCCTACAGACTAAGGCTGAAATGCCATTAAAGTTCATGTAAACTTATTCTTTACAGAAGATGGATAATATTGTCTATGCTGCCCTTTAACCGCTTGATGCCGACCTCAGACAAATATGTGGCCTCACTGCTCTAGGCTTTGTCTTGGGGCCACATATTTGCGTATCTCCCCTTGTGCTGGGAGTGCGTCGCACGGCGCTCTCTCAGTATAGAGACCAGATTCTCACCGTGAGCCCCTGATTCCAGGTCACCTGATTGCTGTGATAGCCTCTGATTGGCTATCACAGTGATTAGTCACTTTAAAGCCCGCCCCTGTGTTTTTCTCTTTGAATGGGAGAGAGAGAAAAAAAAGTGTGTAAAATAAATAAATATTCAAAAATAAAAGGAAACAATACCTGCCATTAACACACTGGCACCTGTACTACGGGAACAACATTCACTCCTTATTTGAGAAACCGTGTTGTCACCCCAGAACAGGCATCTTCAAAACATGGTCTGTAGGTCACATGCGAACGGCTACAGGAATTGTGCGGCTCGCAGCAACCCCAGCTGGCTAGCAGTGTATCTAATACAAAGACCAGTGCATCCACATTACTGGCACTCCTGGATAGAAGGAGGGATTCTGCTGGGCACTTTAGGATTTAAGGGGGAACTCTGCTATGCATTTCTGAATGCAAGGGGATACTCTGGCATGAAACAGCTTTTGCTTTTAACTGTCCAATTACTTTTGGTCCCTTGAAAAAGGTGGGATGGCTACTCTTAAAAGCTGTACTTCCTAAATCCTTCCTCCAATTTGGATGTATATAACCTCAAACCTGAGAGTGTGAACTTTCAGCCCATATCCATTATATAACTATAGCTTGAATATGTTTTGGTAAATACCTGGAAAAAAAAAACTAAAATTGTGCCTGTGTCCAAATATATATGGACCTAACTGTAGGCAAAACAGCCCATCATCTGCATGGGGACTTAATTGATTTTTTTTTCCTTTTAATATGAGGACAGCTACAAAAGGGACTGGCATATGAAAAGTATTCAAAACAATTTGTGTCACCCATAGCAATCAGTCATCTTCCACAGTAACCATCAGGATTTCGATTGGTGTCCAAGGGCATTGAAGACCTTTCTTGATGGCACACTTCTCATACATAAGCCCCTGGGGCAGTGTAATGGATTGTCTCGGTCTTCCCCTTGATATTAGGGGCCTCAGGAAGAAGAATTTTATAAATATAATTTCTCCTGTGCCAGGTGATTGGTGTCGAATCAACCAGATGATCAACCACTGGGAGATAATGCAATAGGTTCTCAACATGTTTCCTATATATATGTATGAAGCAATTTTCTATTGTGCAATGTACCATTTTTCATAATGTTTTCCCAGCTTGTAATTCAGTCACCAAGCAATGTTATTTGATAAATTTATGCATTTTATTTTGTGTTTTCTTTCTTTACAGTTCATTGTGGAGTGCCATGGGAACACGCTCCTCCCTCAGTTCCTGGGCATGTACCGGTTAAATGTAGATGGAGTAGAGACATACATGATTGTCACAAGGAACGTCTTTAGTCACCGTCTATCTGTGTATAGGAAATACGACTTGAAGGTAGCAACATTTACATCATTGAGATAATGAAGTGTCTCTGTGCCTTTTTCTTTAATGTTGGTGTACATACAACAAATTACAGTGGTAGCATTAACAACATCTATATGACTCTTTTACTGATCTGTGTGAGTTATAGTTAATCCGTAAGTGTGATGAAAGCGATCAAACTGACAATTCTGTCAAATCACAGTTGCCTTGTGGTCCCAGCAATCAAATTTTGTGTACTTTGGAGGCCCCTGGTTCCTGAGAACTCACCAGTCTACAGAGGGCTTTGACTTCTGCTCCACTGAGAGTTAAAGTATAACTAAAGGCAAAACGTTTTTTAGTTTTGGATGGAGTAGAGATGGATAGAAATACCTGTGTATTTTTTTTTTTTTTATGTCTGTGCACCTGTTAGGGAGATTCCCTCTCTCTATTTGTCCTGTTTACCATTATCATAGAATGTGAAAGCAAAGAAAATCCCACGTTTTGGGTTGTCCCCAGAAAAGTAATAGAGATAATTACTCCCCAGAAGAGTAATAGGGGAAATCTTCCAATGGAGACACTAGTTCTGGTGATCTGGGGGTCCCCAAATAATTCCCTTTTAATTTACAGGGATTTCCTCCCACTTCCTGTTTGGTTATGGGATAGGAAGTGAAGGGAAATTTCTGCAATGGAACACAGATGGTAAAAAAAAAAACTAACAGGAGTTATAACCCTCCCTTACTCTATCCAAAATGGAAAAAGAAAAGTTTTTCCTGTAGTTCTACTTTAATGTGAACCTGTGCTTTATTTTTAAGCCAGGCTGGTGCCATCTAGAAGTTCTCATGTAGCTTTTTTCTGAAAACATCATCCTTATGTTAAAGTGATTCTAAAGTCGCATAGCAAGTGGCTTGCTTGCAGAACACGGAGAAGAGGAGTGGCGGCAGGGGACCTGAGAAGAAGAGGTTTGGGGGCCACTCTGTGCAATACCATTGCACAGCGCAGGTAAATATAAACCTTTTTTTTATTTTACATAAAAAGGAGCCTTTAAAATCACTGTAATTCCCTACTTTTTATTGGCTTCAATGTGTGTTCATGCGTTGGCTTGTGCTAAGCTAGCTAGGTGCAGAGAGGTACTACAAGTGCTGATATATAGGGGGCAGGATTCAGGAAAACCTGCTTCTCCTGATCTGCAACACCCATCACGTGATCTCTAAATGGATTATTGCTGCGGATGAGAGTTGGAGACCATTCTAACTAATATGGGCTTCTAAACAGGGTGGTCCTACATTCCTTGGATGCCCTGTAAAGGTGCTTGTGCTAGATGGAATAAAATTGTACCTAAACCAAGCAACAAAGACCGTTTATATTGCAGCTTGCCAGTTCTTATTCTGAAAAAAGAAATCAAATGGACCCCCACATCTACATGCATTTTCTTCAAGTACAGCGTAATGCCTCTTGTTCCTTCCAGAATTCCAGAGTCCTTGTAATTTCCTGTTCACTGCACTAAACTAACAAGATTATTAGCTTTCTCACTTCTCTTCTGTGAACTGCAGAACACCTCCCTCTATAGTATGGAGATGAGAAGTGTCCTGTATTTCTTCATTTTCAAGGGCAGGGGTCTTCACACTTTTCTGTACGAGGACCAAATCCTATATTTTACAAATATTTGCAGCTGAAAACCAAATCCGTTTTATTAATGAATAACATTAAAATAAATGAGTCCCCCCTGTACATACAATAGTGCCCAGCAGAGTATCCCCTTGCATTCAGCAAGGTCCCTCCTTAAATGTGCAAGAACCCCTGCGCATATGTTTATATATTTATTTCAGGTACTTGTATAGCGCCGTCAATTTACGCAGCGCTTTACATACATATTATACATTTACATCAGTCCCTAACCCTCAAGGGGCGTACAATCTACAGTGCGGAGAGTCCTGTCAATTGATGTGTGTAAATGTTCAAGACTCATCCCAAGTGGCCTTGCTGCCTTCTACTGCCTGGGGAATACCCAAAAACCCACTGTAAGGAAAACAAGAAGAGAAGGCCTAGTGCATTATCCCAAGGGAGTTTATTTCAGATGAATAAAACCATAACTGTAATCACAAACCTAAGTTTGGAATGGCTTATAGGAATAATATATCCACAGCCACAATGATGGGTAGGACCCGGAAGGATGAACGCCGTCCAGGGATCCACACTGGCTTACACGTTTTGAGGGCAAGCCCTCTTTCTCCCTCTTCCTCAGAGCTAAACAGATAGGATCTACTTGGTGGGTCTTATATCTCCTTACATCCAGCAGTGCCCATCAAAGTATCCCTTTGCATTCAGGAGTGCCCAGAGTTACTTTCTTACATCCTGAAGTGCTCAGCAGAATTCCTTCTTACGTCTGGGAGTGCCTAGTAGAATAACCCCCTACATCCAGGAGTGCCAATCGGAGTATCCCCTTGCGTTCAGAAATGCATAGCAGAGTTCCCCCTTAAATCCTAAAGTGCCCAGCAGAATCCCTCCTTATATCCAGGAGTGCCAGTAATGTGGATGCACTGGTCTTTGTATTAGATACACTGCTAGCCAGCTGGGGTTGCTGCGAGCCGCACAACTCTTGTAGCCGTTCGCATGTGACCATGTTTTGAAGATGCCTGTTCTGGGATGACAATACTGCTTCTCAAATACAGTATAGGGAGTGAATGTTGTTCCCGTAGTACAGGTGCCAGTGTAGTGTTAATGGCAGAATCATAATCCTAATGAAAAAATGCCTGAAAACAAAGCAAAAAACACTTGTACATCCTGTAAAAGACGGGACTGCTTTAAAGGTTACATTTCTGGTATTTTCATTCACTTTATTCATGGTTTACCACCATTTGTCGTCCTGTTATGCATTTTATTTGCAGACAGCTACTAAAAATGTAAGTGATTGGAGACTGATGTGTTTCCTTAATAGCAGAAGAGGAATCAAGAGTTTTCTCTTCAACCAGAACTCGTTGTGCTTTCAAGCCTGGAATTTGCCCCATTTCCAGTCTGAGACTGAATTCTATAAATTGACAGGAATGTGCATAATCTCTCAATCCATAAAATGCATTTGGTTGAACCTTCAGGACCTTCCTTGAAAAATCATTTTCTGAAGTCATATTACAAAGTACAGCTGTCCATTCACAGGCAGACCAAGCTTCACTACTCCGATCTGCAACAGATCTGCCTCTCATTTTCCACGAACAACCTACACAGAGAGACTTCCAATTCAAAAATATAAAATAGCCCTTTAATGCAAAGATGTCACCAGCGGAATAGAATGCAATTTACTTAATCTATTTATTATTTATATGCATTTATTTATTATCTATGTATTATTTAATTTCCAGTTGTGTTTTGGCCAAATATCAGACCTGTATAATTCCCTTATCAAGCCAGGAGTATCCTACCTGGAGACAGGACTGAATCTGGTCCAAATGGTTGCTGCACATCATTATACTTTTGAATGGGAAGTCCCTCTGTGCAGATTATTACAGAAATTGAAGAGTTCTTCTTCTCTATACCTAGAAATGTATTATTGATGGATGCAGCAGTTTTGGGCAGGACTGTGAAATGGTGGATTTCCTCCAAGCATGATGAGCACCCTTACTGAGCCAGGGGCAATAGACACAAACGCCATATACATACTTTTTTTGTTACATCAATAGAAACCATAAATAATTATATTGGTATGTTGAATTTGGACAGTTCGAGAGATATTAACCTGTTCCTATTGGTGTAATGCATATATGTGGCAGCATGGCAGGTGGGCCTAAACACCAGCCTGACACATTTATGGGATCCTGGGGCTCCGTTGTTGAGAGCACAGAACACTCCCGGCACATTGATCCGAGTTGTCACCCTTTACTTTCTGGAGCTGGAGGGACAGGCTCCCAATCATGTGACTGCTGTGACAACCAATTACCATGGACACATTATCAGGGACTCCCACCTCTCTGTGTTAAGATCCACTTAAAAGGCAATCAGAAGATGTTAGATAAACAATACACACAAGTTAAGTGTACATTTATTTATGATAAGCTGATCTTTCTCCTAAATATGAAAAAAAAACATCACAAAAAAACTTTCCCTTTAGGAAAAAAAAAACAACTAGCTGCTCTTAAAGTGGAACTCTCTCAATCAACATTGACTGTTTTGAATCCTTATGCTGCTAACAATAGTTAATGGATAGGAAAATATATCATATTTTACTTGTTTTAAATGGGTTTTTTTACATTTCTTTAGTTACTTCCTGGTTTACCAGGCCTAGGTAAATTATGTTATACATCCAAGGAGTCTTCAGGAGGGGTTTTCTCAGCTAAGCACATCCTCCTGCTTGCATGCCTAAGCCTAAGGTGGATGGATTCCAGGAAGAAAATGTTACATGAATCTGCCCTTACTCAAGATGGTCACTGCTAGGGGTGTTTTTGTAAGTGAATTTTCAGAAAAATAAACATGGAGACATGGATGGATGGGGGAGTTTGCTTTAAATATTAAAAATGAATTAAATAGCACTTTTTGTTTGTGGTGTTCAGATACAGTCTAGTTCTGCTTTAACCTTATATAATATGTTGTTGCACGTTTCATTTATTTGTTTTATACATTTTTTTAATTCAAATATTTTTCCTAGGGCTCCACTGTGGCAAGAGAAGCAAGTGACAAAGAAAAGGCAAGTCATTTATTTGTCTTTGGCCATGACTGTACATAGGTGTATGTTTGTGATAAGGAAAAACTGAATTTATTTCACCATCTACACACTTGAGGTGAATGGAGGAATCCTCCCGCAGTGTCATTGTATTCTGACAGCGGGACTTCCCTCCGTCAGAATACATCAATCATTGCTCTAATCGAAACATTTTCCAATAAGCTGGTTCATGTGAAGTCAATCCATGTATGACTAGCTTTATTCTTCCATCTCAAACAAATACCAATTCAGTATGTATATTCCAACCTTGAAGGGCCGTGTCCAGTCAAAAGGAGTGTTTCAGTTGTGGCTAGATGATAGGTGACTGGATAATAAAAATCATTTTCTGGAATAAATACTGCATGAATACTAGTATGCCCTGTATGTAAAACCAAACCCAAAATAATTCAGAACAAGATATGTTATGGATTGCTCATAAATTTGATCACCACACCAGTTAGACAGCTTTAGACTGATCATAGCATGCATAGGTGATCAATTTTGATCAGGTATCCACACAAATTAGTCGACCTTGTGAAAGTGCAAAGCACAGGTTCATATTAAGATCAATTGATCGTCCATTTAAACTAGCCTTTTAAACTAAATATTGATCTAAACATTGGTGAATTTAATTGCTGCAAGCCTCAGTAAAATTGTCGTATAATCAATAGGGTAAGGTCAGTTGCAGTGTTTAGAAATAATGATTTTTTTTTGCTAATTCTATAATATTGAAGTCTTTAATGTATCACTTTATTTGATTGTTACATGTATAGGCACCAACATTGACAGGTTTAGCGCTGACCCTGGAACAACCGCAGTGATGTTGCAGGTGAAGGACCTTTTCTGCTGTCCTAATTGTAGGATGGAGTTGGGTGACGAAGGCCCTATGCTTAGCATTGATACAGACTGACATCCCTGCAATTTGAGGCTCTCTATAAGAGTTGGACATCCTTACCTTTCTCATGTATCGGATGTTCACTCTATTTTCCTTGCCAAGCCATGAAATGAGGAATAAACATATTATTTGGGGGATTTGTTATAGAAGTGAGACTTGGAAAAAGGAACTTCCAGCCCCTTTTGTGCAGCTCCAGTGCCACCATTATGGCTCATGCACATGTATACTGGCAGAGCCTTTTGACACATCTGTACAAGTGCAAAGATGGCAAAATATTGGAATGGACAGATGGACTGCGAAACTAGCGTGTGAACAGATGTGCCGCTGGACTCCGTGGCCACCCAAAGCCCTATGGCACATCTGCACATGTGCTAAATCTTGGCAGGGAGGGCACAATTGTCATTCTGACTTAGGGAAGAAATGCATCTTTTAACTAAAAAAAAAAAAAAAGTACATCCAATCTTGAGACAGGAAGGAGGAGGACAATATGTGAATTGGTTTAGGGTGAGGGTCCCCTTTACACTGACCTTACACCTGTAGAATTTCATTCAAACATTCAGATGAGAAAGTACAAAAATTGCTGATCCAACCATTTGATGGTGCCTTCATGGACTTAACTAATTTCAGATGACTTTTCATTCGAGTATCATGTCAATGGGGGAGATTCATTAAATCAGGTGCACTCAGAATCTGGTGCAGCCGTGCATGGTAGCCAATCAGCTTCTAACTTCAGCTTCTTCAATTAATCTTTGCATTGAAACCAATCAAGCTTCCATTGGTTTTAATGCAGAGTTGCACCAGATTTTGCACTCCAATTTTGGTAAATAACCCCCAGTGTCACAGTTTTCTTAGAAGGAACATTTTACTTCTAGGTTAACTTTTGACAAGTGCACGTTCATAAGACTAACTGGTTTTTCTCACCCGGGAACAAATTCAACAATTAGAAATTTGATATTACCATTCGAAAATTTTCCATCCTTCTAAACTGATTGTTGAATAATCCCCTTTAACTGTTAGGTATTTGAACAAATGTTCTGAAAACATCCTTCAATCAAAATTCTACTGCAAGGCTAGCTTTAGAGTTATCTTCTGTTCTTAAGAAGCCTGTACTGTGCCTCACAGTGGTTTACTAGAGGTTTATTCCTTCTAATCCTCAGCATAACCTGCCAGTTTATTTAAGCTCGTTTTTTTAGCTATACAATTTTTGGCAGTTTAGAGCCACAATATACAATGCATTTTGGCTCAGCATTACAGATCTGACCTGTAAAGCATGTTAAGAACAATGGCAGTCAGTCAACTTCTCTATATTTTTATTTTAGAACTATGAAAGTCAGAATTTGGATACTTTTTGAAGCACGGCTCAGTCAGATGTTGTGAGGCCTTGTGTTGCTCAAAAAGCCTAGCAGTGTGTGTTAGGCCATGTCCTACTGCAGCCGTCCTCTTCAACTTCACTGACCTCCAACAATTGTCACATTCTTGCATCTGTTTTGACGTCCTCCATCCCCCAGAAGGTTCATTGTTCATTGATAGGACATCAGTCAGGAGCCCGAAGCTCAGACAGATTACTCTTCCCCTCTGTGTGTGAGGGAAGGCTCTCTGGTGGCCACTCTTTTCATAGAGTAGCGACAGCACCAATATGCTATAAAATTAGTGGTTCTAGTCCAGCTTAGTTCTTTTTTTGGCATGGACAGTCCGGGCAGGCTGCCAGGACATAAGAAGTCAGTTGCTCAGTGGGGAATAGAAGGGAGGAAAAAAAGATGATTACAGACCAGCTACATTCCTGTCAGATGGAACATCTCACTAAAATGCATTTTTTGGTTTCCCCGATCCTTTCATTTCATATTTTCCCATCGTTGTCCTACCAGTCATTGCTCAAAAGGATTGGTTACATGCGTTTAATAGTCAAACAAAAAAACACCATTGTAAAGCTGGATATTTTTTTTTTAAAGAAATGTGTACCGAGAGAACATGTAGGCTGCCATTGCTGAGTTCTTCTTTGAAAATGCTAGTTAAACTGAACTAGAACAAGTGATAGTGAAAGTAACAAAGCCAGAGAAAGCCCATCAGATATTATTCTCAGTGTTACTAAACCCCGGACCCTGCATTCACTATATCTGGTCTCCCCGGACCCTGCATTCACTATATCTGGTCTCCCCGGACCCTGCATTCACTATATCTGGTCTCCCCAGACCCTGCATTCACTATATCTGGTCTCCCCGGACCCTGCATTCACTATATCTGGTCTCCCCGGACCCTGCATTCACTATATCTGGTCTCCCCGGACCCTGCATTCACTATATCTGGTCTCCCCGGACCCTGCATTCACTATATCTGGTCTCCCCGGACTCTGCATTCACTATATCTGGTCTCCCACAGTACACACAACATGGAAGTTCAATTATGTTGGTAAATATAAACTGCTAAATACCTTTTCTCATCAGCAGTTAGAGCAGTCTTGTGACTTCTATCAGTGTCCAGACGAGCACATGTTAAAGCTTGTAGTAGGAGTTTTCATTCTGCTCTAGGAAGTTGCAGGACCCCTGACCTCTGTCTGGGCAGTACCGATTGGCCCTGTGCTGATCACATGCACTCTTCCAAGAAAAACCTCTCTAGCAATACACACCAAATGGAGCATGTGCAGAGTAACTCCACATGAATTGTCTTATCAGGAGAAAAGAGGGGGACACTGGAATAAGGGGAGGATCGGAGAACACAGGATTAAATAGCGTTTTTACACAATGCAGAGGATTAACTCCTTAGGTTCCACAGTGAGTATGACAAGCATGCTTTACTGCATATACAGACTGATGTTACTGGTTTGGGTGTAGTAACACTTTAAACTGGCAATGCACAGAGCAAATTTTGCCAGTTCCAGATGAGCCGGGTGAAATTCACTCTGTCAGTTGTCCTGTTGTCACCCCTCCCACCCTTGAAAACTTGAAGGAGCCAGGTAATAAATTGTTGGCCGAATGCAGGCACTGTTCAGGTATTTTAGATTACAGTAGCTGCAGCAGGAGATTTGTCCATCCATACTGTTTAGCATAGATGGAAGAATCTGTAACATTTTTTTGTTCTGCCTGAACAAAAAATTAAAAAAAAATATGATGTGTGCATCTCCAGCTTTAGACAGGAGCCAGTAATGTCAGAAGTGACTCATCCTGATAGCAGCCGAACAAGGCAGCAGACAGAAATGACACTTAGTGCTCTTAATTAAATCAGGACACACTATTAAGGGGTATGCTTTGTTTATATTTCATGTCTGAGGTTTAGAACCACTTTAATGCTTCCTTGTGCCCACTGGATTGAAGTGGAAGGGTTGGGAGGTGATTTTCAGCCCTCAGTTTCATTGACTGTGTGGGCTGCCATGTTTTTGAGTCTTCAACCGGAGAACTAGCACCTCATCTATAGGTGGTCAAGTCCATTCAATGCTTCTCCTGTGTTTTTTTTTTTTTTTTTTTTTTTGCAGGCCAAAGAGCTGCCAACGTACAAAGATAATGATTTTATAAATGATGGTCAGAAAATCTACATTGATGAGAACAACAAAAAGATGTTTCAGGAGAAACTAAAGAAAGATGTTGAGGTAAGATGACTTTGTGGATTGGTGTTCTGACATTTTATTACAGCGAACCTATCTGTCCTTTTAAAGTTTAAATGTGTCTATAGGCAGGCAGGCGCCATTCTGCTACGTTCGCCTATTTTGCACAGATCCTAACCTGGCTTAGAATATTGGATAACATGTAAATAATCTTATATTGGCTGACGATTCCTAATGATGGTTACGAAAACAAAATGTGTGGTCGATAATTACACAGGGAAAAGTCTCCTTGGTCATATGCTTGTTGTGTCTTATGGTAACTTCAGCAAATAGTTGTATTTCTAAAAGCACAAGGATGAGTGTTGCTTTTCGGGTACTTACTCCTTTTTTTTTTTTTTTTTTTTTTTTTTAAATAAAAGAAGCAGTTGCCCTTATTAAAGCCAAACTCTTGTTTCAGGATTTAACCTCCCTGGCGGTATTCCCGAGTGTAGCTCGGGGTAAAATGTCAGTACCAAAAGCGGTAACCCCGAGCTACACTCGGGCTTACCATGCGGCGCTGCATAGGGAGTCCCTGCAGAGCTTACCTTGTCCTTCGCTCCCGCGATGTGTCCCCTGCAGCGTCCTCGGTCATCTCCTCCGGCAGATGCCGGCATCCGGTTTCTGTGTTCCGGTCCCTGTGACGTCGGGACGTACGGGCGCTGCCAGCGCCGCAAAATTTGAAAACTTTAAAAAATGTCATTTTTTTCCAAACAAATTTTACATGGTCAAATATTGCTGTTTAAACCCATTTCACATACATTTTGTCCCGAGTGCTTCGTCCTGTGCCCTGCCTGCATTTTGTCTGTTCTTTCTGCCTGGAAACTGAGAAACGTCCATGGCGTCCAAAAAGTGTCCCTTTAGGTCAAAAGCGGGTTTAGATCAGCTAGAGAACAGCGATAGTAAATCAGAACCACTTGCAGAATTGAGTGATAATGATTGGTGGGGAAATTCGTCATCAGACACTGAAAACGATTTTGCAACTTTGCTCAGCGATGTGCGAACTTGGCGCTATATTTCAAATTTCAGTGTTTTTGGTTTGATTATATTACTGAATTAAATGTATTATTATTATATTATTATTTTTTATGATTATTTATTAAATTATAATTTTATGATTTCATGTTTCAAATTTTATCATACCCGGGATGTTTACTAGACTCTTGTTCGGACAGATTTCAGTGAGTTATTCCTAAATATTACAGCCTACAATAAAAAAACTACATATTTCCATGCAAAATAATGGTACCGCTTTCAGCACCAAAAATCTGAAATAATCATACCGCTAGGGAGGTTAAACACAATTTGGGTCTCTTTCCCCCCCCCCCAATGCCTGTGCAACGTGCCATGAATTGCACAGGGGCACACTGGCAGATGCCAGGGAAATATTAAATCTACTGCTTGCAAAGGATTCAGATGGGGGCAAATGTATGCAAATAAAACCGCTGCAAGAAACCAACAGCTCCAATTCTATTCTTGCCCTATTTCTGGTGTTGCCCCCCAAAGACTCCCCAATCTAGTTATGCAGCACCACTTCGCTTCCGGGTTAAATAATGGCCGGTGGCATTTAACTCACTTCCTGTCTGCAGCATTTAGGATATACCCTCCAGAGAAAGAAGTGGACTTGGACCCCCTGACAACCTTCTATAAGATTTATGACATACCTAAGCAGTATCCTATTTGTATAGATTTATATATTTTTTGCCGTTTCTTCCAGTTCTTTACTTTTATTTTATATTGTATATTATATTATATTTTTTTAATATATATTTAATATTTGATTATTTTTATTGTTTAGAGTTCTTCTTTAATTCTTGTTCTAACCATTTATGTAAAGCCAGTTATATCACAGATGTCTTGTTCCATTGCAGAGCTGCTATTTATATTTCATTGTACATTAATAAATAAATGTAATTTCTTCCCTCTAGTTTTTGGCTCAGTTGAAGCTTATGGATTACAGCCTGCTGGTGGGAATCCACGATGTGGAGAGGGCCGAGCAGGAGGATGTGGAGAGCGAGGACAATGAAGGAGAAGAAGAGGGTGAAAGTGATGGGACGCACCCCGTAGGCACTCCTCCGGATAGCCCGGGGAACACACTGAACAGTACAAAGCCTCTCCTTCCTGGGGAGTTCGACCCAACTATTGACGTATATGGAATTAAAAGCCATGACAGTACGTTATTATACATTCTATGAATTTTGCATTTATTTAGGGTTTTCCACAGCCAGGAACAAGCTTTTCTCATTGTGTAAGTTATCAAACAGTGACATGATGGTTGGTCTTAAGCTGGCCACAGATGTTACAATCTAATTGTACAATCCCGTTTAGATCTATCAACAGCTATGTAGTGCAAGGGCCTTCTACAGGGATTTAAATCAATTGTATAGGTAGGTTCTTGCACTACTTTGTACAGCTTTTCCAGATTTGGATTTAGCATCAACTATCTTCTTTACCAAAGCTACATAACATGGCCTACCAAAACAATCCCCTCAGTTTGTATCCATTCAGTCAGACTCTTGCATTGCATGATTGAAGGTTGATCTAAAGGAGCATGTGCAAACAGATTGTAACGTGTATGGTCAGCCTAAATCTGGCCATCTAAGGATTGAAATTCAGCTGGTTTAGCAGGGACCAACCGAATTTTAATCTATGTATGGCTGTTCCCATTCGAGAGCAGTTGATCTAAAGATGGACTTCTCTTGAATGGGCTTGTTGGAAAACTTTGCTTTGATCAGCATTGCAGCCAATTAACTGCAGCCCTGATCAGGGTATTGTGACAGTGGGGGTGTGCCCGCTGTCAGGATACATTAGCATAGCAAGGACGATTCCGCCTCAATCTGTGGATGGGGGAATCAGTTCAGGTTTTTTTTTTTTGTTAAGAAAAAATGGAGCCATGTATGAACAACTTATAGGAGATTGTACAATCATTTTGTTACATTTCTGGGCACATTCACACACGTTCCTGTGTTAAAAATGTCATATGTATAAGTGGGTGCTGCAGCGACCGTCGGCTGGAACCGAACAGAATCGGCAAGGGGGAATGTCACCAGCACACCGAGGATCACCAATATGGGTCCAAACGTTTTAATGAACAATTACATTGTTACAGGGCTATAGGGTCCATGCACACTGGGCTTAAAAAAAGTCTATTCTTTTGACAGAAATTAACTATCGCATATGTAGCATTTTTGTACAGGCGTTTAGGATCGTTTAGCGTTTTTTTTTTCTGCCAGTAAACTCCTCCCAAAAACGCAAACCAGAAGGTTTTTTTTTCTGTGTTCTAATGTTTCAAATATGCTTCTAAACATGCTAGTGTGCATGGACACATAGGATAACACTGAGCTGCTTCTACAGGAAAACTGCAAGACTTCAGTAGAAGCAATTTATTTTGTTTTTTTTAACTGAGCAAAAATGAAAAAAAAATGAAAAACTAAAGCCTGCAGGGGCCAATGAACGAAGTAGACTATTAAGAGATAAATGGCCCAAACCCTATCCTCTTCCTTGCCTACTAGATGACACTGAGGTTTGGATCAGGGGTGTATTTGCCGCAAGGCAAACAAGGAGTTTGCCTTATTATTATTATTATTATTATACAGGATTTATATAGCGTCGACAGTTTGCTCAGCACTTTACATTATGGAGGGAGACAGTACAGTAACAATACAGTTCAATACAAGAGGGATTAGAGGGCCCTGCTCCTTGGAGCTTACAATCTAGGAGGGAGGGGATAGAGGTACAAGAGGTAATTAGATGTGGGGGATGGAGTGATAGGAAGAGTAGAGGATTCCAGTATTAGCTGGGGTTGGGGTAGGCTTCCCTGAAGAGATGGGTTTTCAGAGTGCACCTAAAAGTGAGCAGAGTAGGCGATAGCCTGATAGATTGAGGTAGGGAGTTCCAGAGGATGGGTGAAGCCCTTGAGAAATCCTGGAGACTGGCATGGGAGGAGGAGACAAGGGAGCTAGAGAGTAGGAGGTCTTGTGAGGAGCGGAGAGTACGGTTTGGGTGGTATTTAGGGACAAGGTCAGTGATGTAATTAGGGGCAGTGTTATGAACGGCTTTATACGTCAGTGTTAGTGTTTTGAATTTTATCTGTTGGGCAATTGGAAGCCAGTGGAGGGATTGGCAGATACAGAGTGGTTAGTAAGGTGAATGAGTCTGGCAGCAGCATTCATGATGGACTGGAGTGGGGATAGCCTGCGATGAGGTAGGCTGGTGAGGAGGGAGTTGCAGTAGTCAAGGCGTGATATAATAAGGGAGTGAATAAGTTGCTTAGTGGTTTCCAGGGTTAGGAACGGTCGTATCTTGGAGATGTTGCGGAGGTGAAGTCTACATGAGTTTGTCAGCGATTTGGATCTGGGGCTGAAAGGACTTGGGTGCCATTTTTCAGTGGGGGGGATGGCACCCGCCGGAAGAAGGGACGCTGGACGTCCTGCGTCGCGTCGAGGATGGTCTAAGGGGCAGCGGTCTGGATGGCAGGTGGAAGAGTGGGGTGAAAGGAGTGGCCCATGAGACTCCAGGAAAGGAGCCGGAATTCCGTAGAGCTGTGATGGTGAGTCTCTCTCCGTGTACGGGGAGGTGGGGAGAAGTGGGGCGTCAGATTTTTTGTGTTGCCTGGGGCAACACAAAACCTAAATACATCACTGCAAACACAAAACCTAAATACATCACTGCTTTGGATAGCTATGATTTGATGTCGTGGACCAGTCCAGTACATCTCAGAAAGTGAAATACTGTGTTATAGCCATTACAATCTCTCCTTTGCATGACCATTTTTTTTTTTTTCTTAATGAAACCCAGTTGACTCTTTTCATTAAATGTTTAAAAATTGTGCTTCTACATTGTCACCCAGACACATGCGTTCCTGGTGGAGACTACAGATGACTATGCTATGCATGCACATTGTACAGGTACAGTCCACTGTTCCCACCATCAGGATATGTGCCCTTCCCCCACTGAGAAATTGCCATGCAGGCTGCATTGTAGTGCACATAGACCGGAAAACTATACTTTACTTTATAAAAAAGGACAATTGTTTGATACACTGTGTTCTAGCAAGCTAAACGTCATTCAATTGCAACTTACCTTGGTATTTGAAGTACATCTTTAAATTTAACCTTTTGCACCATCTTACACCCCTGTTTGGTGGTACGTGGTTCCAATGACTTTCCTGCACCTGCAGCAGCTGGGGGGATAGATTTGTAACTCTCAGTAGACTGGGGGGTAACTGGCACACTTTTAGTCCCTTGACACTTCCTCCAGCTCTGCAACAGAATGTCTGTATAGAGGTATAGGCAGAAAGCTGTAAGAAGTGTTTGCAAAAATCTGACATTGTGCCCGCGGTCCATTGACCATGAGTGCAATACTTTGCAGACTTCTGTAAAAAAAAAAAAAAAAAAAAAAAAAAAAAAAAAAAAAAAGATAAATAAATAAAATGCACATTTTTGTCCTTCCAAAAATACAGTACATGCATTTATTATTTTTTAAAGGTGAAGATAGTCTATACCTAGCTAATGAGCCAGTGAGCGTGCGTGTATAAGTTTTTGTGTATGTATGGCAGCGACATTATTTATTACAGGTTTTGATGATATACCGCCGTCAATTTACATATACATAGTTTACATATATATTGTACATTCACATAAGTCCCTGCCCTCAAGGAGCTTACAATCAAAGGTCCCTAACTCATGTACCTGGAGGAAACCCGCACAGACACAAGGAGAACATGCAAACTCCATGCAGGTAGTGCAGTGGTTGGAATTCGAACTGTAGACCCTAGTGCTGCTAGGTAGAAGTGTCAACCACTTAGCCACTGTCCTGCTCTTAGACTGTATGCTCCTCTGCAGAGAGAATGATGTGAAGGATGTCCCCTGTAAAGTACTAGTTATTAATTATTTATGTTTTTGTATTTATCAAACACACATTTATTTTGTATTTTCTGTTCCTGATTAGATGCACCCAGGAAGGAAGTCTATTTCATGGCCATTATTGACATATTAACTCACTATGATGCAAAAAAGAAGGCGGCTCATGCGGCAAAAACTGTTAAACATGGAGTAAGTATGGTATTATTCCTCTGCTCATTGTGGTTACAAGTGGCGTTCTCAGTGTAAAGGGCTGGGAGTAAATTTTGAGTACATGAATGGTGGGCACGCTGACACCTGTAAGGACATAACGTAAAACACAGTGCTGTGATTTTTGCCAGATTTAAGCAAAACATTTCAGTGGCTTCATTATAATTGTATTGTGTCTTTTGATGGCTCCTCATCACTGGAATTCCTCTGCTACATCTGACACCATCTCTTCTGGTGTCAGCTAATCAAACCCATAAACAAAAATTGGATATATTGCAGTTTACCAGTCTGATTTGGTATCCTTTTTTCAGGATTTATTTTTACCTGATAATCTTGCAGATAACACATTTCCTGTCTGCATTATATTTCTGTCCTACATCTATAAGGGTAGCCATGGTTGTTATACACCAGTACATGATGGATTGATGGGAGTAGTAGTTTACACAATAAAGATGAGGTTCTTTATGCTTTCTTTTAAGCCCAAAGTAAATGAGGACACTGCATTTCTGGCAAGAACAGGTATGTTCTGTACTTGCTAAAAAAATTAATGCAGCCACTACATCTGAGGTAAGCTAAAATCAATAATAAAAAAATAGTTTTTCAGGATTAGATACGCTTTAAAGAAGAACTCACACTTAATTTTTTTCAGTGCCCCCAGGGGACAAAGTAAATGTAGGCATTGTTTGACAGCCCCCTCCCCCCAACTGACAACTAGCGAGGAAATGACTCTTATAACTGGTGCTTATATCAGGCTCCAAGGACTTTCCTGAGAGACTTTCTGACCAGAGAATGCAGAAGGAAGGAGGTGTTTCAGCCTTCCATCCCTCTGCATTCCACTTGCCACTGCTTGTCTCAAGCAAGTCCTTGAAGTTTAGACCAGCGCTGGTTGTCAACAGCCGTTCCCTTGAGGCACAGAACTCTGAAAAAAAAAAAAAAAAAGAAGAATTCCCTTTAAAGGCTATTTCAGACGAGAGATTAGTGGCGTCCTCCATGCAGAACTGCTGGCAGATGCGTGTGCATGCAGGCAGCACATAGAAGTGGACGCACACGCAGTGCAGGCAAAGTTTGACATGCAGGCATGAGCAGGTGCATGGATCCGAATGCAGAGCCTCTTCATACAGATCTGTGCACCTGCTGCAGCCTGCATGTCCAGCTTTGACATGCGATTGGATCTGTGCCGGCGCTGCACGTGCCTCCATTTCTATGGGCTGCCGGCACTAATCTGCCGTCTGAATGAGCCCTGAGGGTAAACCATGAAAGTCTTTGAGTTAATGTATTTAAAATTAATTTTACAAGTATTTAAAATTAATTTTACAAGTAAACATTTCTTACAGGGCACATCCATGACACTTCGTTTTCAATGCATGCTGGTCTATCTAATAAAGCCCAGTGCTGCCTGCATGTTTTTGCTAACTTCTGTAGCCTGGTTTATTAAGGGTTAATGTACACTGGCATTTCACTTCTGGTTGGGATCAGTCTGAGTTTATCCACTGCAGGCAATTGCGTTCCTCCTCTGCATTTTTCTGTTTTAGGTGAAAGAGGGTCAATGTCATCCCCTTTGAGATGTAAAATAAAAAAGAGGGCGCAGCTAAGTGTAGTATATTAAATCTTTATGTCGAAAGATTAAACACTGGCCACTCACTCACATTTAGAAAGATTAAGGAAGGCCATACATTATTCATTTTCTTTCAGTCAACCAGCCGGTTGAACAAAATAAAAATAATTGATCCCCCTTCCACACATTTGAGATGGATGGTGGAATCCTCCAGCTGAACCTTTGTATTCTGACAGTGGCGAGATTTCCTCCCGCTGGCTATAGCTGGTGGCACTGATAAAGAGAAACGTTTCCAACAGGCTGGTTGTACAGAAGTCAATCAAGAGATCATCCTCTGTACAACCAGCCTGTGCATACATGGAACGAGATTCGTCCAGTCCCTGATAAATCAGCCAAATTTCGATCCCTGTAAGCAGCTAGAAGCAATTGCAAAATGGATTTCCTCCGCATGTACTTGATGACCGCTCAGCCATTCACTAAGAAGAGACTTTTTGTATCGCTTTAGTTTCTGTGATTCACTGTTGCCTGTATGCTGATGACATTTGCGCATGGTTTCATTCACATGTCTGCTTTGCTGGTCCCTTTGAGATGTACAGTAACATCTGGGAACCTGGAAGGATGTTCCCACCTTAACTCTACCAGGTGTCATATATCCCAGTACATTCCATCTCCAGCATGGCAGCCAAGCCTGCCTTTTCATTTGAGCCACTGGTCTCCATATATGTTTGCTATTACAAAGTAGATGATATGGTATTTCTGCATCCTGCACACCTTACTGTATTTTTAAAATGATTGTAAAGATTCAGATTTTTTTTTTTAAATAACAAACATGTCATACTTACTTGCTCTTTGTAATGGTTTTGCACATATCAGCCCCGATCCTCCTCTTCTCGTATTCTCCATTGGTGCTTCAGGCCCATCCCCCCTGCTGAGTGCCTCCTGAGCGGGCTACTTGCTTTAAGGGCACTCATGTGCTTGCTCCCAAGCCACTTCTTTGTCTATGAGACACATAGAGCCGTGGCTCAGCACCGTCCCTCTCCCGTGGCGCCCTCCTCACTGACTGTGATTGACAGCAGTGGGAGACAATGGCTCCCGATGATGTGTCTCAGCCCATGAGGAGGCAGAGACCTGGGAGAGCTTGTGCCATCGTGCACATTGCTGAATCCGATTCGGGCTCAGGTAGGTATTAGGGGGGGCTGAGTGAGAAGCTGCACAATGAAGGTTTTTTTACCTTTTATGTATAGAATGCATGAAGATAAAAAACCTTCAGCCTTTAGAACCACTTTGAGTTGAAGCTCAGCCAGTTATGATGTTATAAGACTTTGAGGGTATCCCAAGGAAGTTTCCCTGCCTCTCTTATCCTGTATGCATGGAATGCTCATTTATTCTGCCATGTGTATTTTGCACACTTCTCATTCTTTTCTTTTCACAGGCAGGTGCAGAGATCTCCACTGTTAATCCAGAGCAGTATTCTAAGCGTTTCTTGGACTTTATTAACAACATCCTGACGTAACCTCTCCTGATACCAGTAGAACGTTGTAGAAGACAGGACAGACATTGGTGGAGTATGGTTGGAAAGACAGACGGACCGTGCTGGAACTTAAGCTCACCATGCAGAGAAGAACATCCCTCCCCCAGCAACCTACATCTTCTGGAAAAGATGGCCTGAGAGGGGGGAATTTACTAACTTCCGTCGCTTCCCGGCATAGTCCTAGTTATTTTTTACTTTTTCATGTTTAATTCAAGAAAAAAAAAGAAAAAAAAAAAAAAAACATTGAATCTGCTCTATGAAGTTGCACAAAAAATGATAATAATGCACAGCTGCAAGTAGCGATAAGTGGATGAAGTATTTGGGATCCAGCAAAGCAACATGCATGTGAAGTTTATTAAAATGGTATCAAACCGTAAACTGTAGATCAGTTTATTTTATTTTTCCTAAGTTTTCTTTTTTTTTTTAAATGTTAGATTGTCAGTATTCATTACAATTATAACAAAAGAGAAAGAAACACACCGCTTAAGTTCTGCAAATCTCAACTGTTGCTTCAACTATAACTGCTCACGTTTCGGAGGACAGGCGTGAAAGCAATGCATTTTGGGAGGGGACAGATTTTCACTTCTACACAAAGAGCTTCAATATGTGATGCTTCATTAAATCAAACTGGGATTGTTGATGCCATATTGACGAAGTCCATGCGTCTCTCCACTCTTGCCACAATAATCTGCACTTCACTTTAACGGGGGCTGCTTTGATCTTCTTTTTTTTTTGTTTTTTTTCTTTTTGTTTTTTTTTTCTCTTTTTTGTCGCGGTACCATCCAGTTTTAATGTTACAAAGACAAGATTGCTTGCATAGATTTAGGCAATACGAATAACCTATTGATTCTATAGCTTTGAACAAGCAAGATCATCCATGGGAGTCGATAAAGAACAACTGTTTACATTGTAGTGTGGGGGCATTTCTGTTCTTGCCTGTAATCTTCACGTCTGTATCCCAATATGTTCCATAGATGTTATTTTCATGTGTTACAAATGGAAATACAGCAATTGTATGGATTTAGTGTCTGGATACTTTCTAGATTTCATTTCAGTCTTAAGAGAATCGTTTTGACCCTTCTGTCTCCGATGTTATGTTCGATAAGTCAAAATTGGTGTGTATGATTTCTGTTTTATACAAAAGTTACCTCTGCAGATGGATGTATGAGTTACCTGTTCAAAATCCAAAGTCCTTCCCTGCAAGTCAGTCTGGGAACTGACTGGGAAGGTTATTACCAGGGTCACAAGAACTTGTGTCCTCATGGGAAGACTTCCCCTCTGTTATTGTTCTGGGGACAACCTTAAATTTGGGATTTTCCTTTAATTTCACTTCGTATTATTATCCATGATTGATATAGAGCCAACAATTTGTGCAGCGCTTTACTATAAAAAGGGAGATTGTAATTATACTATCAGTTCAAAATAGAAGGAATAGGAGGGCTCTGCTCATGGAGCTTACAATCTAAAGGGAGGAGGAGGTGGTACAAAAGGTAATAACTGTGAGATGATCTGTAGGAGGTTGACTCAAGTACAGTTTTTAGGTGGATGTGGGATAGGCTTTCCGGAAAAAATGAGTTTTCAAGGATCACCTAAAAGCGGACAGAGTAGGAGATAGCTGGGCATACTGGGGTAGGGAGTTCCAGAGGATGGGAGAAGTTCTGGAGAAGTCTTGCAGGTGAGCATGGCAGGAGGTAACAAGGGAACTGTAAAGCAAGATGTCTTGGGAGGAGCGAAGAGGACGACTTGAGAGTTTGGTGATGTAGCTAGGGGCAGTGTTGTGGATGGCTTTGTATGAGCTAGGTTTGAATTTTATAAGTTGGGTTAGTGATAATGGTAAACAGAAAAAATAGGGAGGGTGAATTTTCCTACATAATGTTAGACCTTTCCTCACTTCCTGTCCCAGTAGTCACTAGGAGAGGAAGTGAAAAATATATTTTCAATGGGAGCACAAATGCCAGTAAAATCCCAAGAGATCCCAGTCCCTTCCATCTGTACTAAGAAAGCTTTTATTTGTGCCCCTGTTGAAGATGATCTTTAACATCCTGTCACTCTTGTCAGTTTTATATTGTATCAAAGCAACATGGTATAAAACTGAAATTCTCCATGATGTAGTATAGGCTCTTCAGTAGATATACTTTCAACTGGGTAATGTATATACCTGGACAGTTCTATCCATGGTATGAAACTCACTGTCCCCTAAATAATTTTGGGGCTATCGCTGTCTGGTTCCCCCAAGCTCATGCCATATATCAATTATTGTATGTAAACTTCATTTTTATGTTTTATTTGTATCAGAATAAGACTCAAACACACAACACTAATCACACCTTGATGGACATTTCAATCTATCTAAAGAAAAAAACATTTTTTTCCTATTGTTTAGCTTCAATTATGGTCATATTTGACTATGGTAAAACGTACATAAAAAGTTCAGGTTTATCTAATTTATGTAAATATGTAACTCATTCTCAGATCGCACCAAAGGTAGGCAAAGCAGTCATGCTAACAATGTGCCATGCAACAAGGGGGTGAGCTATTGTGTACTAAGAGAGTAAATCCAATTTGGTTGTATGTAATCATAGTTGGCTCCAGATGTTCTATTATCAGTGTTAAGATGAGTCGTTTTCCTAATGAAGTGACTGGTGCCTAATCATACAAACATTTTTTTCCTTAATCATGATACTGTGGTGATAAAAAAAAGTAACCTGCATATGTTTTACACAACATTACTCAAGAAAGTATATAGGGCTAGTGTTGGCTCAATATATTGTATGCTGATGCAAGGTACCCATAACTGCACCCAACAAGATAGTATATAAGACTAGTGCTGCCTCAATATATTATATGCTGGTGTCAGGGTTCTCATAATAAACCATTCACAGAATGGGAGCTTTTGTTCAAGACATTCCAAATGACCTTCTGTGTTACACCTGTGCACTCAAATGTCAGAGCAATCCTGCATACATAGACTTTAATTTCATATAGCCAGCCACAGTCTGGGGATTAAGTTGTACTGAGTCCCTGGATCAACCAATGCTCAGAGTGCTAGTTGTCCAACAAATATGGAGTATGCTTTGCTACCTGTTTCCTCTTGTCAAAGAGTCCTTCCACAGTCACCAAACCACTAGTACCAATGTCCTGGAAAGAAAGTTTGAGCAATAGGTCACCTGGTCAGATTTGGAAACCAAATGTCATTGCATTCATGTCATTGTCATGGTATCCATATATCTGGAGCTCACTGGCAGGGAACACACAAGGCCGCATGTATTATGACTTCTTTCCGCCCATATAGGGACTTCCTCAGGGAGGATGTATCCACAGGGTAACGGAAATGGGTGGGAGAAGATGTGTCAGGACTGCGGTGGTGTAGAGATTTTCCATTGGTTGCTCAATATACACCGATCAGCCATAAAATTGTGACCAACAACCATAGCCCATTGGGGCATGGACTCCACTAGACCTTTGAAAGTATCTGGCACCAAGCCATCAGTAACAGATCCTTTAACTCCTGTAAGTTGCTAGGTGAGGCCTCCATGCATTGGATTAGTTTTTCCAGCTCATCTCACAGATGCTCAATTGGATTGAGATCTGAAGAATTTGGAGGCCAACTCAATATCTCAAATTCGTTGTGTTCCTCAAAACATTTTTGAATTTCGCAGACCAGCCACCTTCTTTCATTGCTCTGTGGTGCAGTTCTGATGTTTTGGCTGTGGACACAGATCAGCATGGGCACCCTGACCTCTCTGTAGCTACACATCCCTATATGCAACAATATACAATGCACTATGTGTTCCAGCATTAACCTTTTCAGCAGTCTGAGCTACAGTAGTTCTTTTATTGGATCAGACTTCACGGGCCAGCCTTCACTCACCATGTGCATCAATGAGCCTTGGCCACCCATGACCCTGTCACTGGTTTATCAGCGTTTCTTCTTTCAACCGCTTTTAGTAGGTCCTGACCTATGGAGACTGGGAACTTCCCACAAGAGCTACAGTTTTGGAGTTGCCTTGGCCCAGTTGCATAGCGATTACATTTTGGCCTTTGTTAAAGTCACTCAAATCCTTATTCTTGCTAGTTTCTTCTGCTTTCAACACATCAATCTCAGGGTCAACATGATCCCTTGCTGCCTAATATATCTCAACCCAAGGACAGATGCTACTTTAACAAGGTTTTCAATGTCATTCACTTTACCTGTCAGTGGTCATACTGTAATGGCCTGTGGTTATGGTTATTTCACTGTCTGGCCTTACGAGATCAGCTTTGCCAAAAATAGTTCAGGTAAAAGGTAAAATCCTTTTGTTATGTGTGTATTTGGCTGTATGTGTGCAGATAGTAATTACTTGGATAACCTGCAAGTTATTATTTTCTTGGCTTAAAATAATACATGTATCCTTGAATAATATTTAAAGTGGTTGTAAACCTCTGACACAGCCTCTGACAGCCTCAGCTCTGTTCCTGTGTGCTGTGTGAAAGGGAAGGGGGTGTCCCTTCCAATCGGCTCACACTGAGCCCTGCAGAATGTAACTTCAGTTCTCCACCCCCTGCTTTTTGAAAGCTCAGAATAGCTGTATAAATTCTGGACTTTGAATTGTACAACTTATGTAGAAGTGTCAAGGATGTCTAGTGACATCTTGAGCCATAATGAGGTAAAAAATATCCTTCATTTTGTCAACTTACAGCCTATCAAAGTCCTAGAAACTAGTGACATGACTGAAAAACCTCATTGTGAAGATCCAGACTAACAGTCCCTCTCAGAGAAATGCCCAAAATAACTGCCTCATGCATTGTCCTGTGTGAGGATGAATACTATGTTCTTGTTCTTTCAGAGACATTCAGGTTTAATGAGATATCAATAAAGTTTGGCTCTCTCCCAAGAACAAGATGTCATTTCAAAAGTTGCTTCCAATAGTCTTATATCTGCATTTTCAATAAAATAATACCTGGTGATCCAAATATGAAGTTCCCTGTGCAGGTCCAACCAC